TTGAGAGATTTGGAACTTGGGAGATTTGGAATTTGAGAGATTTGGAACTTGGGAGATTTGGAACTTGGGAGATTGGGAACTTGGGAGATTGGGAACTTGGGAGATTTGGGACTTGAGAAATTTAGGACTTGGGAAATTTGGAATTTGAGAGATTTGGGACTTGGGAGATTTGGAATTTGGGAGAGTTGGAATTTGGGGTTTAGGAATTTTGAATGTGGAGATTTGGAGTTTAGGAATTTGGGGTTTAGGAATTTGGTGCTTTAAGGATTTGGGATTAACATACTTGGAATTGAGGGATTTAGCGTTTAACAATTTGGAGTTTGAGTATTTGGAATGTACGGATTTAGAGTTAAGATATTTAGGATTCAAGGATTTGGGGATTTGGTACTTAGAAATGAAGTATTTAGATTTCAACAATTGAAAGTTTGAAGATTTGAAGTTTAGAGATATGAAGTTTTCGAATTTGAGATTTAGTAGTTTCAAGTTTTTGGGATTTACATATAAATCTGAATGTATAAATCAAAGTTAAAAATCAGAAAGATCACAAAATTTTTTAACTTGATTCATAACAAGCTTTACATTATCCAACATGTTAAGAACAGACCTATCTCACGTTCTCAAGTTTCACACAATAAATTCGATCTGATCAGCTACTCCAATCGCACTGTTTGATCCACGGTTCGAATGTTTAATCGTGAGTAATGTCATTATCTTTCCACTGCATTTACGACAATTGTAGTAGGGTTTCCACAAACCATTTGATAGGAGTTACTCACCTATTGCATGATTCAGTTGTCCGTCAGGTGTTGGACGCGTTATATCGACCTACGTGTGTCATGAATTCCCTTTAATGTCTTCCCTTTGCACTCGTTCGGACGTTATTGTGATTAAAGGCTCTGGCAGACATGAATCCTTCAAAATGGAACCTTGCTTTTATAACAATGGTAAGACCTATATTTCAAGTATTACCGACATTTATTTCCTAACTCATACACTAGGAACATAGAAATAAATAATGTGTGAACAGTGCAGGGAAACGAATTTATTATATTTTTATATTTGTACATTCCTGTATTGTAAATTTTTATGATAGGAGAATTTCTGTCAATCCGTGTCAATAATTCAATCATACATTTTTATAAAATTATCAAAAAATTTGGACATAGAAAAAATGGTAGAAATCTGAGACTGTTAAATTTTTGAACGGACCAGCTGTTGTGAGTGGAACTTTAATATATGACTAGGAACTTTATTGTGTTTTGTAAATGAGTAGTAATCTGAAACAAGAATATTTTCCTACATTATGTGCTTATATAGCATTATTCATTTGAGGTTCTCAATCTTAATTAATTATTTATCAGCACGAAAACTTAGAACATCCCGAATGGGTCGTTAGCCCTCTCATCGGCACAGACCAGCGATCAATCTAAAGCACTGTCCACGAGACACCCGCAATCCCCTGCCCATCCGAAGCTTTAAACCCGTCAACTTTCCAAACTTTCCACTCACCGCAATTCTTTTCGCAGCTCACGTTAATCTCCACGGGCAGTCCAGCCTCGAATGGTCCGCAACATCCGCAGAAACGGCAGGTACCGATGGCGAACCAATCGCTTAGCGCGCAACCCTACTGGGAGCACATTCTCCGTGAATTCGTGTTCAAGACAATCTCGCCACCCGGCAACAACCAGCTCTACAAACGCCTGTTGGACGCTCCATTTTACGCTGGTCCGTTTCCAATCCTCTCGAACGACGTGTCCAGCGTCGTTCTGTCCCGTGGTGACGTTTATTATCTGCCGAACGGACACTGGCTGTTCTGTCAGGAGGGTTGTATCGACTGCGAGGTGTGCTCGGAGTACACGCACCCCATCGTCAGATGGGTGCTCCGCAGGCTCAGAAGATACTCCACTCAAGGATCCACCAGACACGATCTTCAGCTGACGGTTATACCTCAGACCGATGGTAGCTACCACATGAGGAACCTCTCGCCTAGATCTTACGTCTACGTAACGTCACAGGGTGAACAGGTTGCATATTGGAACGATAAGCTGGCGCATCACGGGTCGGGAGCTTATGGGAATCTCGAAGAAGGCGTTTTTGGGCCTAAGGAGAAGAGCTTCTGGAAGTACGTGCAGAGGGACTCGGGGGAGAGACGGAATTATACAGCTTGGAATGACACAGTTGCGAGACATAAGAACGACACGGTTGCTCAAAAACATGAAACAATTGCTCCAAAACACGACACAGTTGTTGCAAAGCATGATACAATTGTTAAACATAAAAACGATACAATTGTTGCGAAACGAAAGAATGATACAGTTGCTACAAAACACGAGACCATTACCAAGCAAAAGAACGACACAGTTGCTGTACCTTCAGAGAAACCTAAGATAAATTCTGAGGCAGTGTCTCTTGAGAAGATACCTTTGAAAGATTCAAAGCAACGTCCACACGTGACAGATTTTGATAAGAATGTCACCTCGAGTCGGAACGAAAGCGGAAATAGATTGAAACAGTTAGTGCCGAAGCTGATCCTCGGCACAGATCAACTCGGACAGAAGCATCTGGTACATGTAGTACCTGCTGATGGGTCGACAAACGCGACGTCGATAAATTCTGTTGCTCCCAATGCACTGAACTTCACTGGACAGAGCAAGAACGCCTATCAGAGGATATTGAGGAGGATCTTCGATTCGTTGAACAGCAACAGGCGGTCTATCGAGAGTTTTCTTGAACCTCTCGCGCAAGCTAGTGAGGACATTTGTATGCGGACTTGTGATGGACAAATGTGGACGTGGTATATGGGATGTGGGCGATAGTGTCAATTGTATTTATTGAGTTTAGGTGGCTGTTTTTAGTATTGCACGAGATTGTGGTAATTGGTGATGCATTTGGATATTTGGGAATTTATGAATTCTGAATTTTTTAATGGGCTTGAATTGGAGGAGTTTGAAATTTCTTTGTGATGTAATTGTGAAATTATCTAATTCTCAAGTTACTGAATTCTCAAGTTACCGAATTCTCAGATTACTAAATTCTCAAATTACCGAATTCTCAAGTTACCGAATTCTCAAGTTACCGAATTCTCAAGTTATCGAATTCTCATATTACCGAATTCTCACATTACCGAATTCTCAGATTACCGAATTCTCAGATTACTAAGTTCTCAAGTTACCGAATTCTCAAGTTATCGAATTCTCAAGTTATCGAATTCTCATATTACCGAATTTTCAAATTACCGAATTCTCACATTACCGAGTTCTTACATTACCGAATTCTCAGATTACTAAATTCTCCACTCATCGAATTCTCAAATCACCAAATCTTCAAATTACCGAATTCTCAAATCACCAAATTTTCGAATTACTCAATTCTCAAACTACCGACATCTCAAATTACCATTCTCTCCCGTCACCAAATTTCAATTTTCTCGAATTCTGAAGCACTCCCCAAATTTACAAATTCAAAATCTTGAAATCTCAAAAACTTTATGTCGCTCGTAATTTGTCCATCACATTATTGATTAACCATGGATTATCCTTGTTCCTATTTTAAATAATTTCCTGTACTTGTTTCCAGAGGCAAATCGACAGAATGAAGAACATCAGCAGGAAGAAACAAGGAACGGTGTTATAGGATTAAAAGAATTGGCTCGTCTTTATCCAGTTCTCGGTAATAGAATTCGAAACGAGACCTCGTTACATAATCGCTGGCCTGCTACTTTGAATTGGAAAAGACAGCGAAGGAAATCGAACGACGAAATATTTGCCAGTAGTTTTATCAACAGCACAGATAATCCTAATGCTTCCAACGGTTACAATTTGAATCGTGAAATACAGAATCTAAGTAATTCAGTGATCAATCAGTATGTTAGTAATCGAAATGGTTCTGTGCGATACAACTCTGGAATAGTAAAACGTGATTAAAACACTAACTTCTAGGGACAAATAGATTAATATCGATCAGAATGATGATATGTATGAAGCGCCTAGATTTTACTTATTTTCCAAACGAAAAAAATTGAAAGGAATTGTAAACCGAAAGAATATCACTGACTATCCCTGTATTATTTAATACAAAAATGTATAAGGTACATTTACTCACGATGAAATTGTTCAACCTTATCCCAGTAGCTCTAAATATATCGCCATAAAGCAAACTAAGTAATGGCATGGAGGCCTAGTACGTCGTCTAAACACGGTAAGCTTGGGGTAGCGCCATCGGTGTCACCGCTAAGAGGATCGACGATCCTTAATCAGCCCTAGCGCGATCGTTTAAAACGATTATAACCCTTCCTTGTCCCGATTGTATCATCAGACTACTATCTAGGGGTGAGAGGGTAGTTCCATCCCGCGTTTGACCTCCATAAGCTCATTCTACCCCTCTCGTAATCGCATGATGGCGGAAACGTACTTCATGATGCATCTACGTATCGTATTACAAATCTATGTCCAACGTTAATTGCTGATGGTAAATATTAAATATAGGTAGGCATAAATGATCTTGACGGACATTAATTTTCAGTAGTTATTCATTTTCTAGACATTTTCAAAATATTCTTAAAACGGACCCACATCTTATTCTGAAAGAAAGGTACGAGTATTTATACAAAAAATCTAACAGATTTAAAATCTAACAAATCTAACAGATTTAAAATCTAACAAATCTAACAGATCTAAAATCTAACAAATCTAACAGATCTAAAATCTAACAAATCTAACATTATGACAGAAAAATCTAAAGTACACAAAAAGTAGTCGACACATCGTTTATTAACAGAAGGGTTAAATTCATGCGATAAGATAGTATGGTTCGTCTTAGCAGCCGAAGAGAGGGTGTCAGTAGGATGGGGTGAGAGAAGGGTGCAGGTGCGAGACGACGGATTCAGGCGGTAAGGTTTGAGGAGCAGAGGTAAGCCGGCGCTTATATTTAATTAAGGAGGATACGGGTTCGAGTAGAGAGAGAAGGTCCCAAGATATAAGCTCGAAGAGACTGCTGTTCGAGAAAGCAAGAGAAAAGTTCTGTGTTTCTTGTCTAATTATCTACCCTTCGCGTCCTGCCAGCCACGTTCACTTTCTACGCCTGGTACCCGCCACAGGTTCTACTTCTGCTCCATCCGATTTCCGTCCAAGTTTCTTACCTATCGTCTCATTTTGTCCTTGCTTTCACTGTTCTTTCCTTCATTTTCTTTCGCTCCCTTTCACGGTTCTTAGTGCAGTGGAAACATTACGAGAACGGACAAGAATCTTCAAATTTCCGAATTGTGTGATGCTCAGAATTTTGATTCCGCGAAATTTTAAATTTGAGTTCTCAAATTTTCAAGGTTCAAATTCTACAGTCCCCAAATTCTCTTATCTCTAAATTTCATAACTCCAAAATTTCCAAATCATCAAATTTCAAAATTTCTGACTATCCAAATACCCAAATTTCAAAATTCCCGACTACCGAAACCCCCAAATTCTCAAATTTGCAAATTTTAAAATTTTAAAATGTCCACATTCTTAAATGCCCAACTCCTCAAATCCACAATTCTCCAATTTCCCAAATTCTCAAATTCCCAACCCCCCAATTTCTTAATTCTATAAATCTTTAAATCCCTAAATCCCCAAATCCCTAAATCCTCAAATCTCTAAAATCCCCTAAACCTTATATCCCCAAATGAATCCACATATCGAAACACTCCATAAACTCGATTAACCGGTACCAAAAATATTTCCCTTTCGTGCAGAAAAAAAGGAACGATCACTTTTAATTTAATTTTCCATTCGCTGGTTCGCGCAACAAAGATCCGTCGTTTTAATATAATTTATCCCGTTAACCGTGCACACCCCCGGAACGTATCATTATCCCCGCAAAGCATATTTTAATTACGAAAAAGACTAATTTGAATGTTAATTTATTAGCGTGCACACGTGCGCAACCAGGACGTATCGTCGTTCTCCTTTGCGTTACACCGTAAACGTAAATAACAATTATCCTAATGGAAATAAACCGTGCGAGGCAGTTTCGTACGTGCTTTTCAGATTTCTTTTTGCCGTCAGATTTGTAGGTTTTTAATTCATTTAACTTCGTTCAATTTTACTGGGACAGAACGTGCCTCGGCACGTATACACGCGGAGGAATCTGGATCGAGTTTATTTTGTTTCGACGCGTAAAGGTATCACGGAAATCCATTAAAATTATTTGCTCGAGCGACCTACCTTTTCCGAAATGGCAGATTAATTTCTAACCAGTTTACGTATCCCCCGCGTTTAAGATCCTCGTCGTCTCTCCCGATCGAATCTAGTTAACGATCCCATTAAGAGCGACGCCTCTCGATTTCGTGATCGGCACCGGGCGTTTCTCGAATTATATACACAGTCGTTAATGGAATCGACGACGGGATGATAATAGAAGCGCCTAGCATCGAAGCAATAACACCAATTTAGGTCCCGTGCTCGAACGACCACCCATCTCCTCTAACTCTGATTTTTTGACCGAGCGTCTTTAATTAAGATCTTCCGTCGAAATTTCCCCGGCGTATTCGGCTTCTGGGGCTCGACGAAAGCGGCCGCAATTCTCGATAAACCGTGCTGAAAGGAAACTCGTTAAAACCAATCCACCAGCGATCGAATCGATCGTTTTGCGCGGCTCCAAAGGGCGCGGAAGAAAGAGACCAAGTCGGAGAGCTCGAGGGGTAAGACGGGCTGTTTTCAAAAGAGGTGCCTGAGAAGAAAGCAGAATTATTACAGTAGACTTTCGTTATATCGTATGCTGGAGTTTTGGAATGTAGGATAGGAAATTTAATATATGACTTGTGAAGTTACGTGAGGCGATTGGTGAAGATACGACGTGTGAGGATACGGTACGTGAAGATATAGCGCGTGACAATTCGGAGCGTAACGGTATGGGACGTGATAATATTAGTCGTGGCGATTTAACGCGTGAGGGTTCGACACGTGGTAGTATTGTAGCGCTGTAAGGAAACGTGTGAGGATACGGCGTGTGGCGGTATTATGCGCAACGATACTACGCATGACAGTACCACGTGCAACGATACTGCGCATGACAATACCACGCGTGACAGTACTATGAGTGACAATACGGCGTGTGAAAGTACGGTGCGTGACAATAGGTTGCGTGGAAATACGATGCGTGACTATACCACGCGTGGAAATACGACGCGTGACGGTACAACGTGCGGAAATACGACGCGTGGAAGTATGATGCGTGACGGTACAATGCGTGGAAATACGACGCGTGACGGTACAACGCGTGGAAATACGACGTGTGACGGTACAACGCATGGATATACTACGCGTGGAAGTACAACGCGTGGAAGTATGATGCGTGACGGTACAACGCGTGGAAATACGACGTGTGACGGTACAACGCATGGATATACTACGCGTGGAAGTACAACGCGTGGAAGTATGATGCGTGACGGTACAACGCGTGGAAATACGACGCGTGACGGTACCACTCGTGGAAATACGACGCGTGACGGTACAACGCGTGGAAGTACAACGCGTGGAAGTATGATGCGTGACGGTACAACGCGTGGAAATACGACGTGTGACGGTACAACGCATGGATATACTACGCGTGGAAGTACAACGCGTGGAAGTATGATGCGTGACGGTACAACGCGTGGAAATACGACGTGTGACGGTACAACGCATGGATATACTACGCGTGGAAGTACAACGCGTGGAAGTATGATGCGTGACGGTACAACGCGTGGAAATACGACGCGTGACGGTACAACGCGTGGAGGTATGATGCGTGACGGTAGCACGCGTGGAAATACGACGCTTGACGGTACAATGCGTGGATATACTACGCGTGGAAGTACAACGCGTGGAAGTACGATGCGTGACGGTACAACGCGTGGAAATACGACGCGTGACGGTACAACGTGTAGATATACGACGCGTGACGGTACAACACGTGGAAATACGACGCGTGGAAGTACAACGCGTGACGGTACCACGCGTGGAAATACGACGCGTGACGGTACAACGCGTAGAAATACGACTCGTGACGATACAACGCGTGGATATATGGCGCATGACAATATGTTGTGTGGAGATACAACATGTGACAATACGTAGCGTGACAATATAGCGCGTGATAATATTGCGCGCAGTAATTTAACGTGTGATGTTGCAGTCCACGACGATACATCCTATGACAATCGCGTAATGAACACATGACGTAAAATGGTAAATAAAATGTTTGTATAAAGATAACATCCATTATTATGAAAAGATGTTCGCAGTGCAAATGGATTGTTGATCAGTAGATAGCACGTTGACGCACGAAATTATAAATTTTGAATTTCCGTATTGCAAAAACCACCAGTCATCGGTTGGACATTGCAGAATTTATATAATGTTTATTTCAATGACCACGGATGCACACGCCCCATCGGTTTGAATATTTCCTACGTTTCGGTTGTATGGTTGCATTTTGTTTTTATCTCCACCGCCTATCGGTATTAACGATATTTGCACCCTCTCCGATGAAAAAGCGATTTAATAAATGTTTGATTAAAGCGTACGTTTATGAAATGAAAAAAAAGAGGGTCAGAGAGCGGAGAGAACGAGAAAGAAGGAAAGGTGATAGTCGGTTAACGAAACGGAATTACATAAACGGCACTTTGTCCGATCAAAAAATAATGAAAATATTATTTCCTGGAATAATTCGGCTTCCTTTCGGCTATTTTCATCGTTGGAATCCCACTGAAATTTATCCTGCAAATATTATTGCGTCAGGAATTTGAATTTTATTATATCGGCCAATAATTCGCCACTCATTTGATTGCTCACGTTTCTCTCCGATCAGATATCGACATTTCCCATTAACGTTAATTTATATTATCCTTTCGAAAAATATTAAGCTTACGTAATTTAATTCGGTTCATAAAAGCAATAGTGTTTTATAT